GCTTTTTTTGGATCAACAAGTCTAAAACCCGTTACAAAGCGGGCGTTACATAACAAAACGACCGAGTTTATTTTCCATGGCAAGAAAGAAAGGAGGATCAAGGAGTTTTTGGAGCTTGTTATAAACAATTAAGGGAGAAAGCTTGTATGGATCTTGCAAGGTGGTTCTTTGATGTCGGAATTCCATTTTATGCGGCTACTAATGATAGCTTCAAAGTATTGTTTGAATTAATTGGACGATATGGATCTGGTTTCAAGCCACCTAGTATGCAACTATGCATGAGCTAAGAGTTCCTCTTCTTAAGAAGGAAGTCCAAACTACTACTAGCTAATGGAGGAACATAAGAAAGAGTGGGCAGCCAAAGAATGCTTAATTTTATCCGATGGTTGGCGTGATTCTACTCCTCAAAAAGATATTATAAACTTTCTTGTTAACTCTCTAAGGGGATCCGTGTTTCATAAAATTCATAAATGTTTCCGAAATTGTGAAAGATGCAACTTTGTTGTTTAAGTTGCTTGATGACATGGGTGAGGAAATTGGAGAGCAAAATGTGATTCAAGTGGTAAAAGACAATGCATCTAATTATGTAGCGGCGGGTAAGAAATTTGATTCAACTCCTTTACTTTTTGTATTTGATTTTTAATTCCTTAATCTTAAGAACAACTTCTATCTATTCTTTTGTTATGAAATATTTTAGGAAAATTACTTGAGGCCAAAAGAAAGCATCTTTATTAGACTCCATGTGTGGCACTTTGTTTGGATTCTATGTTGGAGGATATTGGAAAAATTCCAAGAGTAAAGAATGCTTTAAAGAAGTGCACGCTCATGAATGGTTAAATATATAACCACATACCTCTTGTGAACATGATGAGGAGATTCACCAATCAAAGGAATTTGCATAGGCCTGCCGTCAGAAGATTTGCTACTTCATTCATTACACTTGCTTAATATCATAAACATAAGATTGATTTGAGGAAGATGGTCACTACACAAGAATGAAATGATTCAAAGCGGTCAAAGCAAGCGATAGGAAAGAGAGTACCAAACTACTTTATGCAAGACACCTTTTGAAGGAATGTCATGCACGCCATTGCGTTGACGGGACCTCTAGCTAAAGTTCTTAGAATTATTGATGGAGAGAAAAAGCCACCTATGGGCTACATATATGAAGCCATGGATAGGGCTAAGGAGGATATCCAAAAGAGTTTTGCATATAGAGAATTTAGGGAAGCTTTTAAGAGCATTCATGAAAGGTGGAATTGCCAACTTCATCGAGCTTTGCATGCACCAGGATATTACCTTAATCCGGTAATTTTCTATGATCAACCCGATGATGTTTGTTGTGAAAAAATTGAGACGGGATTGTATAATTGTATTGGAAGGTTGGTTCCGGATGTGGAAACTCAAGATAAGATTATGATGGAGTTAGATGCATTCAAAAATACTTTCAAACTCTTTGGCCATTTAATAGCAATTAGACAAAGAAAAGCCAAAGCACCATATCAAAGCTATAACTTTAAAGCTTATACATATTTTTAACTTTGAAATATACTTGCAAACTAATTATATTTTTATTTTTTGAATAGCGGAATGGTAGTCAACTTATGGATCTTCAAGTCCTAATCTCAAAAGCTTTGCCATGAAGGTTCTTAACCTCAATTGTAGTGCTACCGGTTGTGAAAGAAATTAGGGAGTTTTTCAACATGTATGTACACTTTAAGTTTCACCCTTAATATTATAATGTTTATAGTTCATAATAACCTTTGACTAATAAAGTAAAAATTTATTTTTGTCATAACTCCGCATAAAGAAAAGAAATCGTTTGGCACAAGCTCGATTATATGACATGGTCTATGTCAAATATAATCGAGCTTTACAACACCGATATGAGAGGCAAAACACCATTGACCCCATTCTTTTGGATAATATCGATGAAAGTAATGAGTGGCTACTTGGGAAAATGGATGAAAATTTGGAGGAAGAACTTGTGTTTGAAGGTGATGTCTTGAGTCTTTGACATTGAGTGCGGTTAGTAAAGCCATTGGGGCCAATGAGCCTTCCTATAGGGTAAGAAACGATGCTCCATCATTATTTGGAGGGAATAAAGGGAAGGCACCAATGGTGATTGATGATGATGATGAGGAGGAGTGGGAGGAGGACAACGGTGAAGATACTTTGATGTTGATTTAGAAACTCTTTAGTGCTTTGGAGACCATTCACTAAACTATGTTTGCTTTTCTTTCTATCTTTTAATTAAATTATGCTAATTATGTCTTACTTTAAGTACTTGTCTAATACTTTTGCGTCTTAATGAGTTAGCGATGATTATTGTCAAATTATGCTTCCCTTTGTGCATTTATAATAGAAGTGGGATATGTTGCCTTTTGTAGGCGAGGCGCACGCGTGAGCCTTACACCTAGGCTCCATGGACCTTTTGCGCCTCGCACCTTTTAAAACTGCACACTGTCACCCGGTATTGCATGAGAATTCTCCATCTCCAAGATATTCTTGTGCTTCCTTTCAACTCTTCCATTTTGTTGTGGTGAACAATTCCCATTTTCCACAACATCTTCTTACAAATCTCATTATCAAACTCCAAAGCATTGTGGATCTTATGACTTTCACTTCCTTTCCATATTGAGCTTTGCTCATATGAACAAATTCCTCTATAGCACTAAATACTTGAGATTTTTCTTTGAACTCTTTTACCCATGTAACTCTAGAGAAGCCATCTACAATTATTGTACCTTGTGCCACTCTAAATGCTCCCCAGATATCTATGTGTATCACCTCAAATGCTTGTTTCACTATTGAGTTACTCAATATGTAGGGCAACTTTGTGAACTTAGCCAGACACACATCTTCACACTTTATCTCAACCTCATTCGGCTCTTCCATTTTTCTGATCTTGGTCATGGAAGCATGACCTAATCCTAGGTGTGTACTAAGTTTGCTCACATTTCTTACAATCCTTAATTGTTGAGATTGCATTTAATGCCACTTTCTCACAATGCTTGTTCATTTCAGCAAGGTTTTTTTATCATATTTTTCATGGACTCGTTTTAGAGGTAGTACAGACCATTCCTGAAGTCCACTTTGCATGACTCATCCTCCACCCACTTCTGCACGGACAACAGGTTATGCACATACAAAACTTTTTGTAGTCTTACCCATTCTCTAGGCTCACACATCCCTTGTGAGTGATGTTGGCAAATTAAGTTTTGCCTCACTTCTACATTGCTAAGCATTCTCAAGCACCTCGAAGTTGCCAGTCATATGATCCGAAGCTCCTGAATCAATGATCTAAGTTGTGCTTGCTGCATTTGCATATTGACAGCTCACCATTCCTGCATATGTGAAGTAAAGATCATCTTCTTCTTGTCTTGTTCCAGCATACTTTCCTACACTAGGCTACAATTTTACCGGTTGCTTTAGCATTAAGTGGCACAGCAGAAGAGCTACTACTAGAACTTCCTGTTTCTGTTTGCACATTTGCAGCAGTACTTCCACTTCTTCCTACTCTACACCACCTCTATTATTGCTCAATTTAGAGTCTCTTTGAGCTTTTGGATGTCCACTTGGAAATCCCTTCAGACACCAGCATTTTTCAGTGTGTGGAGGAGACTTTACCTGTCACAGCTTCACTACTTCCCTTGCTAAACATTGCTCAGGGTTCAGCTTCTTCTTTCACAGCTTTCAACGCTGTTCTCTGATTGTCCTATTGATCAGTGTTACATGCTGGATCTACACTAGGTAAAGGAGTTTGCATAAGCAAATGACTCCTTTGTTGACTGTGACTATCATCCAGTCCATTTAGAAACTGGAACAGCTTCTGCTGCTCATCCCGATGCTAATGCAGAGATTTCTGCATTAGAGGTAGTAATAGGAGGCAGACTGGTCATGCTTTCCAGCTCCTCCCACAAAATCTTCAACTCTGTGTAGTACTCAGTCACACTTTTACCTAATTGCTTTGTCTCATATATTTCTTTGTTCAACTGATACTTCCTTGAACCATTTGCAATATCATATCTTTACTCAAGTTGTTTCCGAGAGCACTTACTGATAAACATGATAATTTTTTATATATTGATGCAAGTATCCCATGCTTCTAGTTTTACTCGATCATTCAGATCTCTTCCAACAATCCCAGTCACAAACCCATACGTTCTTTTGGATCCTAGACTGATTTCTATCGATCTTTTCCAGGATATGTAATTACTTGACCCTTCTAGTTTTTCTATGCTGATAGAGTTGCTTCCATCAGATGGGTGCAAGTATAAAGAACTAGAGGTCTCTATTACAGTTGACATATTTAAATCAGCAAGAATACAAGTGGTTTAGAAATAAAGATGTCACCTTTATATGTTTCTCCTAGATCTACAGTTTTAAATATTAAAGAACAAATCTTTAAACTTTACTATATGAATGCTGCTAATATACTGACCTTAAGCTCTGATACCATGATGAGAAACAGAAAGGCACGATTTTTTATTTCAGCAAAAGCAGAACAGCAGCAGCAGTAAATATGATGAAAGCAGGATCTTTTCATTGAGCATTTTTTGTGTAATTTTCTAAATGACTGCTACAATGATTTTTGCACCTTATATATGACAGCCCTACTTAACAACCCTAGTGACTTACCACTAGCAATCTTACAGCTCATACAACAACAGACAAAAGAAAGAAAGCAGCACAGCAGCAATAGCAGACAAGCAGCATAAAGGAAATATTCCTACTCTCTATTTCATCAAACAACATTCAAATTAAAAGATCATCAATAACAGACAACCGTATCAGTCCACCAGGATCATATGATAGGGTTCCCAGTGATCACAATGCTTAACAATAGAATTTTAAATTTCTTCTTCTGGAAAGGTTGGTAAAGGTAAGTTGAAATTTGAAAATTGAGCAAATAAGTATATGAATTAAGCTCAACAATAAGCCAAAGTCATAAACTTTACTTTTGAATTTCAGAGATGGATATGTAAAATCAAACTTACGCAAGATCCGCCAAGGTTTCTGATTTGATCACAGCCTTCCCTTCTGGAAGTTCAAGGCAAGAATGGTGCATTATCATTTCCTTCAAAGTGTGCTTAGTGCTTTTGACTTCATTATCCCACAAGATGCTCTAGTAACATATGCAAGTTTATGTTAGTACATGACCTAAGTGAAAAGTGCAAAAAGTTTGAAGTTTAACCTACTAAAAGCTAGTATGAAAGTATAAAGCAAGAATAAATCAAATTTGTGCTTAAACTGGGTCTCGTATGTAAGTTATGTTCAATCAAATAGACTTGAGAAAGTTTGAAGTGGTTTATAACTTTTTTGAACCCATATCTTAAAACTTAATAGTTCGAAAAGGTGAAGAAAGATGTCAAGAGTCTACATGCTAACGAGAAGTTGTCCCGCTTAATTTCTTTAAATTTTAGTTAAACAGACTAAAAGTTTCAAGTATAGGTAGATGAGATTGGATTTGGAATTACAACAGTAAAACTTATCCCACCAAATTTAACTTTGATGATCCATCATTCCATCTTTAACAAAACCTAAGTTTGTTTTGCGTTAATTTTCGCATTGACCTACATTAAGAGTATAACCAGACCTTACCAATTTGAATAATTGGAGTTGAAAAACAGGTTAAAAATTTGAACTTAATGCAGCTATGTTCTATGTTTATATTTGCCATCCAGCTTTATAATGTTAAGTCAATAAAGACTAGACCCAGCGAATTTAGCTTCTTAAATATGTACCTTCCTGACATACTCTTTCTTCACCTCTTCCCATGGCAATTTTCCTTTAGGAGAGAAAACCGATGCGTTCCAAAGAGCACCTCTTGCAACCATAATGGACGAGGCACCTACCATGTTAAGCATAACATTAGATAATAGACATAAAAACAAAATATTCCCTCCGTTTCACAATGATCTTTTCATTTGGGGTCTTCTCAGATTGATGATTGATGATTGAAATAAGTGATTGCATGTTCTAAGATAAGCTACAAATACATATGAAAACTCTATTGAAGTAATAGTTAATTATCAACATTGAGCTGCACGACCCAAATCTGTTCTCTTTTCTCAAAATCTGACACCATCTAAATCAATTGTCAATTTTTTAGAAATCTATTTTTTATATTTGGGAGTTGAATGGCTAATCTTTACCTCATTTTCCAATTGCATTAGATATCACCTACTTTGTTAAATTCTAATCTAAATATTCCTATTATAAGGATCAGAAGTGTCTTGATTTTTGAACCTGTAGCATTTTTGATGTGCTGAATATCTTCATAATCAAAGACATCGCCATTTGCTATTACTGGAATTGATAATGCAGCAACCACATCAGCAATCTCATTCCACTTAGCAGGATCCCTTGGTCTATCTGGAACTTTTCTGTAATATATTTGATAGATAGGGTAAAGAAGGGAAAAACGAATTTATAGGAAAATAATAACTGAAATTGCCTATTAAATGTGTTAAGGCAATGATCACAAACATGCAAGCAAAAATGGAAGGCTGATCACAAGTGAAATAGTATAATATACTCGAATAGGAGGGGAAACAAAAAGGCAAAGGAGGTAAGCACAACCTTCCATGGACAGCAAGAGCAGAAACACCTGTTTTCTCAATCTGTCTGGCCAATTCCACAGTGTAATGAGATATTTTCAAAAGTCGTATTTTACATGTTACGGGGGTAATTAGGTTCCTCTTCAATGTTGTCAGAATCTGAATTGAGGAAAGAAGCCGATCAAATTGTTGTATTATAGCCATAAATGAACAGCAAAGACAAGGTGAGTGGAATAAGGGGAAAAAAACATTTATTGATAAATTGAAATATAACACATAAAATAGACAACTGAAAGACTTCTATTTTTGAAGAGTGGCATACATCGTGAATAGTCTCTGGCTTTGATAGCAACGCAGCACCCATGCCCCCACTAATAGAAAATGACCTGGGACAACCCATATTGATATCAACAGCAGCAACATCATTGCAACTGTGGAGGAAGAAGATCTATGTCAGTAAACCACATGATCACAGCATAAGATTACTGATTACCCCCCCCCCCTTCTTATTAAAATGCATATAATCACCTCTGCAGCTTGATTAGAACTATTGTAATTAAGATTAAGCAACAATTGTTTTTTTGGTAATCAGCAATACTCAACTTGAGCAAAACGGAAATAAAAAGATGAAGGTGCCAAATCTATACGTGGGAACCTGAAAGCCGGGAGTTAACCGACGAGATGCACTATGGAGTAATTGATAAATATAAATGGTGATTACAAGCATTAAACAACAAGCATGAATAACTCGTGGTACTTATCACATCCACCAAAGCATTTCAAAAGAACCACATGAATCTTCATGCTCCTGGCTCTTACAAGCAAAGTTATTTTGATCCTTTTTAAGATCCCATTTCGAAGAGGTCTATCAGCAATGGCCATCACCAAAACAGCATCACCGTTGCGTACTAATGTCCTTATAAGCTTCCAACTTATACTCATGGCTGAAGCATTCTTGACTTGCCCTTCCGACTTCATGCACCTCGGACAATCAGTCAAAATACCTACATCTCGACTAGTTTATAAAATTCCTCCAACAATCAGTTCATTAAACACAAGAATCACACATGACAAACCATTTCTTTGTTTTTATAAGCCAAGGGAAATTATGAAACCATTTCTTTGTTTTCATAACTTGTTGATTGCAATTATGTAGCTAGCACTACTTTTTTTTCTTCTTTTTTATGGGGGGGGGGGGAGGGAATAGATATCATTGTTCCTATTGTTTGGATAAGAGATTGAGGAAGGAATGAGAAGGCGAGGGAGGGGTCCATTTCCTTTCCCTCTTATATAAACATCATTGCTCCAAATTGAAGAGATTTGAAAGGGAAAATGAACTTCACATTCCCCCTCCCTTTCCTCCTATTACCTTCATTTCCCTTCTATCTTGCTATTCAAACAAAGTGCATACATTTAAAATTATCCAACAATTCCCATGACCAAGAATATTGGTTTGAAGCCTTAGATCAGATAAATTGAAGAACGAGATACTACATTACTTAAGGAAGGATCTTAGATACATACAAGTGATTGTGCATGGGTATTTCAAAGCAAGAGTAGTGCAAGATAAATCTAAATGTAAACTTAAGATACTTAAAACTACAATTTGCAAGTGCTCTAATTTAGGTTTACATCATCTAACAGTACTATTGAAATTGGTAAAGAAACATACACAAGTTGGGCAGCCTTGAGAGCCCTAACAGCATCAGAAGTCCCCATCTGAAACACGACCCGGCTTTGCTCCTCCGGGCAGGTCCTAAATACCACATTTTGAGTCCCTTTCTCAACTACATCAATCGTACCCAAATAATCTGGCAACAATAACACATAAATCAATTCATGTAATAGTACCATAGAATTACAAATTCACACCCAAAAGGTAAAGAAATAGGAGTAAGAGTAAGAACCGTTAACGATACGATCGCACTTAACAAGCTTATGGTCGATAATTTCCTCCCCATAAGTGATATCAGCACCATATTCAGCAGCTAATAACCTCAAAGGCAGTGTACCCTGACAACATCATCATTCATCCATGTAATTTCTTGTCAACCCACCATTAAAACATGAAAAAATCTAATACCCAACTGATAAAAAAAAAAAACAAAACCCAATAATTGCAGTTGGAACTTATTATGGGGATAGAGTGAAAGCGTCAAATAATAAGTCAAAAGATAGAAAGAGAGACAGAGGAGACTTACAACTCGAACCATAGGAGCAAGAACAAGCTTGTTGTTGTAGTCCATTATCGGCGGCGTTGTTGTTACGCCGCCGAAAACGGGGCCGGGAAAGTGCAGAGTTGTTTAATCAACGATCGCCGACAAGTGATGGGCCTGACTTGTAATTCTTGATATTGAGGTTGTAGAACAGAACCTGTAACAGGCCAAGCCCATTTGTAGGAATTTGATAAAAGTGTAGTTTCGTTGAATGTACAATTAAGGTTAAAATTTGGCCAGAATAGACAATTAAATCATACTAAACTTCAATGAATTATAACCTTAATACTCCCTCCGTTACGCATTACTCGCAACAAAGGAATATTTTATGTCTCACAAATAATATTGTATCCTTTTGTTGCGAGTAATTCGTAATGGAGGAAGTATCTTATTTCATACCAAGAGAATAAAGTCTTAACCATTAGCAAAGTGAGATTTGAAAGAAGAATATGCTAGGAGTATAAATTTAATCATAGCATCTTCTTCTTTTCAAATGTATCTTCTTTTCAACTGCAATGCCTGCAAAACTTTATAAATTATTGGAAAATTTGATGTTACTAGTCTCAATTACAGGCATTCTTTTTTAAACAGTCACAGCTATTGAATAGTTCATGGCAGTCCAACTTTGAGTTGTCTTTCTTAAAACATTTCCTAGCTTATAATGTCTGTGTAAAATCGTTTAAAACTGTAATGTGTTAAATTTTTAGTGGTCCATTAAAAATTAACATGTAGATGGTGTAACGGGAGAGGATGGGTGTTTAGAGTAGTGGTGGATTAATTTTTTAAAATACGCCTAATGAAAACAAGACACGTGGCTCCATTACCAGTAAAACCAGTTAAAAATATGTTAGAGACCGTTTTGAGGAGGACCGTCCTGAGTTAATCAATAGATGGGACGGATTATGGTGTCAATTTTTCCTAAATTATTTTTTGAACAACTAAGTATCACGCTACAATAGGGGTCGTTTGGTTGACAAGGGAAATAATTTCCCACGGGATTTGACAAATTATGGGAATTAACTTCCCACATTAGAAATCCCATGAATTGTTGAAAGTTGTTTGTTATTCATGGAGGAATTTGCAAATCATGGGAATTTCAAATTACCAAGGGGGCACTTGGTAATTTAATTCTCATGTTTTGTGGGAATTGAAAATTCCCATGAATTTGAAATTCCCATGAATTTGAAATTCCCATGAATTTGAAATTCCCACATTGTTATGTTTTGTGTTAACCAAACAAAACCCCAATATTTGAATTCCCATAATTTTCTATTTTCCCCATTTCTTTTGTGCAACCAAACAACACCTAAATGTGGACGAATTTCAAATCGTCTAGCAAATTCCGTTGTTGTAGCGTTAGTTTTTCAGGCCTAGTTCTAGTAGAGCTGTCAATTCGGGTAAACAGGTCGGGTTTGAGTCGGGTTAGTGTGAGTCGAGTCATCTCGGGTCGGGTCAATACGGGTTAATGTCATAACATATGCGGGTCGGGTTCGGGTTGGGTCATGCTTGAGTCGGGTCACGTCGGGTCATACATCTTATCGGGTTTGAGTCGGGTTTAGGTCGGGTTAGTAAAAGGTCGGGTTACATTCGGGTTGGGTGAAAAATATGTCGGGTTCAATTCGGGTTTTTACGGGTTTAAACGAGTTAGGATCGTTCTCGAGTTCGAGTAGAGTTCGGTTCAAGTCAATTATTTACAGGTTATAATCAAGTCGGGTCATTCTCGGGTTCAAGTCGGGTTCGGTTCAAGTCAATAATTTGCGGGTTATAATCAAGTCGGGTCATTTCCAAGTCGGGTCATTCACAGGTTTGATTCGGGTTCGGTTCAAGTCAATAATTTGCGGAAAACATGTTTCGTCCCTTGAATTCGCCCCTAAAAACATGTTGTGAAACTAACCTCTTAAAATTCAAAGTGAAATATTGAAGGAATAGAGTTAGGATTCAATTTATGTTCCAATACCAACATGAGATAACGACCTATACGTATTGATTCAATAACAAGTCGGGTTGATTCGGGTCGGGTTGAAATTCGAGTTGGGTTAGGAACAGGTCGGGTTGAATTCGGGTCAGGTTAGGAACATGTCGGGTTGAATTCGGGTTTTGACGGGTTAAAACGGGTTTGGGTCAATTTCGGTTCAAGTCGGGTTCGGTTCAGGTCAATAATTTACGGGTTACATTCGGGTCGGGTAGTCTCTAGGTCCTTTAATGTTCGGGTTCGGGTCTCAAATACTCGGGTCTAGGGTTGGTTTCAGGTCGGGTTAGGGCGGGTTCGGGTCACCATTTTTTTGGGTTCAGACGGGTTGGTTAATAGGTTTAGTAAGGGTCGGTATTTCGGGTCGGGTCAGCTTTTGATAGTTCTATGTTCTACTATAGGAACTTGGCACCTGCTCCATTTGCATTGACAATGTTTCATTTTCTTTGCTTCATCTTTTTACCATCCTAAATTACTAAATAAATTATAAAAACACGCAAAGAGAAATAAATCATAAATACCAAAAACATACATAAAATCACTACTTTGCTAAAGCTAAGGAACTACCCTAATATCCTAAAATCACTATAATATAGAGTAGTGTACAAAATGATAGTTAAGGTACAAGAATATATTTTATACTCTATCATGCTCATTAACTCACAATTAAGTTTCTCCATATGTTTTTTTTTTTTGGTCAAGTTATATTTAGCTTAGTCTACTACAGTACTACATAGTACATACAAATGTATTTATTGATGGGGGAAATCATGATGATTACATACATATTTCATATATTCATCTACAATAATCATAGTTTTAATTAAGGGAAATTTGTTTGATCCAACATTATGTGTATAGTATTTTTCAGATTTAGAAATCTATTGTATATTTGTATATGTGGTATGATTCAGGTTGATAACACTTAAGCATTTAAGCTTATACTCCATGTGTTACGTAATAATTGTAACACTTTGACGGGTATACATGACAATATATACATAACTTTGACTATTAATATTTGTTAATTATTACATATTATTAAGAAATATAAAATATTTATGTAATGAAAATATACATAAAGACTAATCCAAAAATATACTCCCTCCGTTTCTTTTTACTCGCAACAATTACTAAAAATAGCCGGTACACATTACTTGCAACAAACTTATTTCTTTCCTTTTATGGTAAATTTTTTTGTGTGATTTTACAATATTACCCTTACTTTTTTTTTTTCTAAACACCCTAATTAAACTACTGATTTTAACTTAATAATTTAAACCCTAACATTAACTAACTTAATTATTTCCCCAAAATCTTTACTCTCCTATCTAAATTCATTCTCATCTTTTGTAAAAAAAAAAAAAAAAAAAAAAAAAAAAAAAATTCTTTCTCATCTTGATTGGGAACCACCACTAGTCCACCACCAATCTCCATTCTTTGTTCATCACCCAAAAAATTCACCTTAGTACATACACCACCGTCGCCGAAAGTTGCTGTCGATGTCCCTTTTGTTGCGGCCGCCTCCGTTTTCTCTCTCTTCCTCTTCTTGTTGTTTTGTCATTGCGGTGAAGCACGTATTTGAAGGTTTTATGGTTAAATTTAACCATGAAAACTCTAGATCTGGAGTTTTTGATGGTTAAATTTGACATTAAAGCTTTAATTGATGATAGAGAGTTGTGGGTTTCGGATTTTGGGGTTATGGGTTTGGGTTCGAGTTCGTGGGTTGTGGATTTTGGGATTGGGGGTTCGTGGGTTGTGGGTTTCGGAGTTGTGGGTGGTGGGTTTCGGGGTTGTGGACTTGTGGGTGGTGGATCTGGGTTCGTGGGTTGTGGGTTTCGGGGTTGTGGGTGGTGGTTCTGGGTTCTTTGGTTGTTTGGTTGGTGGTTCGAATTTTCTGGGTTAGGTGGTTGGTAGGTTCGAATTTTCTGGGTTCTTGGGCAGGTGGTTCGAATTTCTGGGTTCTTGGGTTGATTTGGTTGGTGGTTTGAATTTTCTAGGTTCGTGGGTTGGTGGTTCGAATTTTCGGGGTTGTAGGTGGTGGTTTTGGGGTTGTGGATGGTGGTTCTGGGTTACGTTGTGGGTTTCGAGGTTGTAGGTGGGCGAAATCGGGGGTGGTGCTAGGTGGTGGTGGTGGCATGGTGCAAGGTGGTGGTGGTGCTGGTGATAGGTGGTTGTAATTAATGTTTTTATTTTATTTTATTTTAATTTATTTGGGTTGGATTAATATTAAACACATGCCTTTATTTTTTGTTAATTACATTTACCATCTTTTGCCTAGGAGTCCACAAACTACTAGTTTGTTGCGACTAAAAAGTAACGGAGGGAGTATTATATAGCAACATATGTTTCTTTTATACACCGGGAATTAAAAAAATATATACAAATAAGCATATCAATAGTGCAAAAGTTGAATTGTTACGATCATTGCAAAATGAAGGCAGTTCATAGTATTTTATATTTTGGTCGTCCACCATTGATGTGTAGGCTAATCTACCGCCTATGGGCAACCAGGCACTCATCTTTAATAGGCAGCACAACAATGTTTAATGGATAAATTAGCTTAAACAGCCTAGTAATGCGTTGATTAAGCTTTGACATGGACTATCTTTACGTTGCTTCCACGATGGTGTAAAAAAATCGCTGTCATACTCATACAAATAGGACAAAACCCAAAATTTATAACCTAAAAGTGTATAGACTAAGTTACACATAATACACACTAAGGTCTAATTAAGGTGCTGATTATATGGAAATCATTTACAAATCACAACTACCTCTACATAAAATGACGTGGATATGAGTCCTTGTCTTGCATTCAAATCAACCTTATCACAAAATTATTATATATGCAATCTTAATGTTAAATTTATGGAATAAACTTATAAACTTAAAGGGCTAAATCAATTATTCTTTGAATAAACTTCATTATATTCGGTTTATGTAATCAAGAATTGCATTGCTTATCAAAATAACACGTGCTAACAGAAGAAATTAATCATATAAATGAAGATATTATTTATTTCTATGTCAAAACTCTTGTGATTAGTGAGTTGTAATCCCTTCCTATGTTATTTGATTTTCGAATTGTTGTTTTTTTATACATAGTCAACAGCTGTGTTTAGGGTTGACTTTGTAACTCCTTACGTCAAGCTTGAGTGTTTATGTGCGATTGTTACCTAATGCCAAATTCCTTTTTGACTCACTGTACAAGCAATTATTTAAGCTCATATAGTTCTCGATATCATTTTCCTAAGTTTGGTGAGATCAGAGTACGTGAAATTAAATCTAAGGTCACGTCGAAGATAGATATATCATATATGAAGTATGTGAAGAGTGTGGGGTCATGTGTGTTGAGCGGCCTGAGTCTGTGCGTTTTGGACATGGCTAGGTTAGACTTACAAATTACGGCCATACATGTTGTGTCGAAAAAAGGCCTAGACACAACGACCCAACTGCCACATACTATTGTGTCGTGGCCTATCAATTTCACTTATAATAAGTGTGCTTTGTCATGTCAAACCATATTATTATGTTGTACTTTTTTTGGGTCTTTCTATTAAGAAAAAAAAAAAGTGGCACAAGCTCAACCCACAGCGGCCAGGCCACAACATGACCTACATTGTAATTTGTATGTATCTTGTGCTCGAACATGGTTAGATTATGATAAATTGGTAGAAGTCCAGATAGTCCAATACCATAAGATTTATTATCACCAACTAATTAAAATAATTGACATCTCTAATGTCTTAATTAGGAGAATGATTAAATTTAAGATTATGAATAATTAACAACAATAATATTGCATTCACCAATTGGTTGTTGGTGTAATGGTGATTGAGACTACACTTGGTAGGGAGGACCCGTGTTTGATCCCCCGCAACAACAATCGGGAGGAGACTGGAATCTAACCACCCAGAACTGATCCTCGAATCCGGATTAGCCCAAAGGGTGAACCGGATGGAACACCAAAAAAAAATATATTGCATTCAATATATATTTTTTATTTTTCAATTATGTCTCATATAAGTATGTGTTATAATGATGAAGATTAACAAATACGACTATATTAATTATTTTTTTCAAAAAAGTAAATATAGTATGTTTGTTGATAAAAAAATTTACAATATCTAATCCAAAAAAGAAAAAAAAAAAACTTCAATGGCATGGGTCTCCAGTTGGTCAATCTAGCTTTTTTAAGGGAATTTTTAGCAACCATGCAAGTCTGAAGATTTGTAGATTTTATCAATTGTTGTTTGTTTAGGGTAAAAATACCCTAGACACGTGGACCAATAAGAGGAGGCCACGTGTCGAGTTCAGGATGGCCCATATGGCTTAATATCCTCTTGACACGTGGCGCCCTTAGATTCGTCAAAGAAATGGCGGCCTTCAAGGGCCCAAATCCCAAGAAGCGCTGTTTTACGGCGCAACCCATTGGAATTTAGGTCAAGTGACCTAGATAGGGGCACGTTCTCCAATGACCCTATAAATAGGGAGATATTTCCCCATTTTGGGGACACATTCAATCATTTATTACACCTACATTCTCTCACATCAGAGAAGCACCTGAGCTTGGAATCCAAGCAGATCCCTACCTAAATTTCCGTACTCTTTATTCCCTTTCAAGTTACTAACTTGATCGTCGGAGGCGGAGCTCCTACCACCCGGAGTCTCCGTTGTTTTGCAGGTACAACTCAGCCGGATCAGACTTCGTGACGTAACTCTCCCGATGGACAAAAATACCCAAAACATTTGGCGCCGTCTGTGGGGAGAGTACCTCGAAGATGGTTCCAGAGTCTGTACCACCTCCTAACCTTCTGGGCGATGATCCAGAAGTCTTTACAGACCAGGAGGATGAAGATCCTCAGGTCGAAACCTATACAGCCGATGATGGCTCTCTGATAACCAAGCGCATCCGGCCCAGAGAGACTCTGAAGCGGGGTGCCTCCCAGGCGGGTACAAAACGACCCCCTGGACAGCCGGAAGGGGAATTCATGAGATTCAGCACCAGTCACCCGAGACGAATTCATGAGATTCATGACAAGTTTCAAGGGTGAAATTAAAGAGCTGATCACTAAGAGCCGGGCTGGCCCAAGTAAGGGTTAGTCGGCCAAGAAGACTCCTCTAGAAAAGGGGAAGTCAGTCAGAGATCGGCAGCCCATTCCTCATCCAAAGGAGAAGGCAGCCGGGACCATTGATTGGTCCAAAATTCTTCTTCCAAAGAGGAATACCAACAATACCCGCCGGACCCATCAGCCGGTGGGAAGTAAAAAATCAACTCTTGATGCCCGGGAGATCATCAACCAGAAGAGAAATCAACAGTTGTCTGAATCGGCTTCTACGTAGAATTTTCCAGACAGCTTCAACAATACTTCCGCAGGGAATGCACTTTCCTTGCATGAGAGTCAGACAGGCGGTAATACCGTCCACTCTGGCCCTCAGATGATCGGGGCTGCACCATATGTACCTTCTCAGCTCTACGGTCAGTACCCACCTTGCTATATGCAGTCGGCTTTCTTCGGAGGTCAGGCGGCATATCACAATGTCCAGCCACTGGACTGGCAGCTCCGTCTGCTTCGCCTGGGTGAACAACCTTCTGCATTCACCCGGGAGATAACCGAGGCGGCACAGCCGGCCAAGGTTAAAAATGTGTTGGTAGGTACCTATGATGGTACCACCAACCCGGAAGATCACCTCATGGCATACACCAACCTTATATACTTACAAGGGTTGGATGATGCCACTTGGTGTCGATGCTTCCCGGCTACATTGAAGGGCATTGCCCAAAATGGTTTGGAAACTTGCCAGCCGGGTCCATTGATAGTTTCAGGAAGCTTGCCTTCCTGTTTGCTTCCAACTTCTCAATGAACATCCCTGCTAAGAAAACAAGTCTTGACTTGAGCACCATTAAGTAGAGAGAGAGAGAAGGGTTGCGCTCCTATGTCAGGCGGTTCAATCTGATCAGAATTCAGATTCAAGGATTGTCTGATGAGGTAGCTTTTACAGACTTTTTTAAGGGTCTGAGAGACGGGTCGACCTTTAAGTTCGACTTAGTCAGAAAAGGGGCTTTAACTTTACAGGCGGCCTTGAGGGAGGCGAAAAGCTACATTCAAGCAACCGACCTCTGCTCGCCTGCTAATCAGTCGGACTCCAAGAAGTCTTACAAACAGAAAGACAGTCGGCCTGCTCAGCCGGCCAAAAAGAAAGAAGAGAGCAAGAAGAGAAAAGAAGTCTGGGCGGTTAGTTCTTCTGACCAGCCGTCCCAGAAGAAGAAGAAAGAATTTAAACCGTACGTTCCTAAGTACGAGTTTAATAAGGACTGCAACTCCATCCTCATGGAAATTAAGGATCGGCTGTCCCTAGGGAAGTCGAATCTAATGAAAAGTTCCATTCAATCAAGGAACAAAAACAAATTTTGCCAATACCATGAGGAAGTTGGCCATGACACCAACGACTGCTTCAGCCTTCAACGGGCGTTGGACCGTCTGGCTGACAAGGGGATGTTGAAGTCCTACATTTCTAAGTCCAAAGGGACTAATAAGAAGAATCCGGGGCAGTCGTCTAAGACCCCCCAGGCTGCTAGTAGCTCGGACACTGACAAGGAGCCGGTCTACACAATAACAGGCGGGTTCTCATGCGGTGGCCCTACCATCCGGGGCACCAAGAGCCATCTTCGAAAGATGGACAAAGATGATGATGGGCAGACGTCTGCAAGCTCCTCCTTCCCAGACGTTTTGATCACTAAGAAGGACAGGGGCAGTGTTCGTCGTCCGCATGATGACCCGGTCGTCATTGAATGTAAGGTTGCCAACCAGCTGGTTGGACGGATCCTTATTGACACCGGCAACTCATCAGACATCATCAGCCTCCGGTGCCTGCAAAAGCTGAAATACAATGACAGCAGCTTGCATCCTGTTACCCACCCCTTAGTTGGCTTTGGGGGTGGAATGGTTTACCCAGTCGGAAGGGTTGATTTACCAATCCGGCTGGGTGAGAAAGGAAAAGGGCGACACCTGGTCGTCAAGTTCCTGGCTTTTGAGGAGCTGACCGCCTACAACATTATTTTGGGCCGGCCAACCCTCAACGAAGCCAAGGCTGTAATCATACCCTCCCTCATGCTCATCAAGTATGAGAGGGATGACAGCTCTGTTGGTTCCTTGAATGGGGATCAGAAGACGGC